CGTCACCTCCGTGACTGCTCAGCAGCAGGGCTATGGCGTCGGCGGCCACCGAGGAGCGCACGGTCATCAGGTGGCCTCTCAGTTTCTCGCAGGTCTGGCTGGCCGCGCGGAAGGTCGCGCGTTCCCCGAAGACAGCGAAGCAGTCGTGGCCGACGCACTGACTGCCCTGGGGCTTTGGCTCTGCAGGCGCGGGTAGCCCCGGGCCGGACCGGGCCAGTACGCTGAGGAGGATGACCCAGAGCATGTCTTCTGGGCGCGCCGCGTGCTGGCGCCGGGATGTCAGCGACGGGGCCGGGCGGGAGGAGATGCGCGCAGGACGCCGCGAGCGATAGCCGCTGCCGTGCGTCCTAGCCCAGGCGCCTCTGGCCGCGGCGCGCCGCCTCTGACATGCGGACAGGCCGGGACGCGAGTTTATAAGTGCGCGCGGCCCTCCCTCCCTGAACGTTCGGGAAAAGGAAGGAAGTGCCTGGTGGGAAGGGCCGACTCCGCATTCTCGGATTACTGGGTTCTCCACCCGCCGTGCGCCCGCCCTCGTGCCCGGGATCACCTCGCAGGGATGAGTAAACCCGGCCCGGCTAGGGAAGGGGGAGGTCCCCGGGCGGGGCAGGCAGGGGTAGGCGCCACAGAAGGACAGCACCCTTGCAGCCAGGCGCTGGTCCCCGCGCCCCCATCCGGGCCCCTGCGCGTGCAGCCGCCACTTCATGCTAGTCCTCTTCCCTTTTTGTCGTAAATGCTATCGCCTGGGTCGCAGAGCTCCGGAGACCCACACCCGGAAGAACGGGACTTTGAGTTGGGCGCGGGGAGACAGCGCGCAGGACCCGCAGGACACTGGGGAGGGGTGTCCGACGAGAAGAGGACTTTAGAGGGACTGCCTAGCACACGGATGTGCACAAGTCAGGACCGCAAGGAGAGCGCTGGACCCCGCCTGGGCCAGAGCGCTTGGCCCCAGGGGACAGTGGGCGTGGCTGGGTGGAGCGACTACCCGGCCGGACACCAGCACCCCCGCCCAGTGCCTGGCTAAGGACCCGCGAGCCTCTGGGCGCGCGCTGCCCACGCCAGACCCCATCTCGCCGCACAGGAATGTGACAGGGACACTTGTCACTCTTCAGAAGCTGTGGCAAGTGAATCGTCTCGGCGCCCCACGGTGTGTGTGTCGCGACTGCCCAGCTTCGCCGAGGGACAGTCCCCTTGCACCTCCAGCGGAGTTGCGGGTGTTACCGCCCCCCTCCCTCCAGGCGCTGCAGGCTCCTACCGGATCCCACCCAGTCCATGTTGTGCGAGGCCGAATTGACCCCGAGGGGCACAGAGACGCCACTTGTTCGGCAAAGGGCGCTGAAGAGGGACGGTCCTGCGGATGGGCAGGGTTAGGAGGACCGGGAGGAGGGGTGAACTCTGTCTCCTTTCGACCTTATCCGCTTGTTCATGTACCAGGAATGCGAAGGGTGGGCCCAAAGAGTAACCCGTGAAAGCGCCCTTTCTCCTCCGCTGTGACCATCACTACCAAGCACCGGGAGGCGGCGCCGATGAGCTCAAAACGAAGCCACCGGCGCGGGAGAGCTTGGGCCAAAAAGGGTTAAGCGCGTGGTCCGAAGACTCCGCTCCACGGAGATTCCTCGTGGACTCCGGGACGCCTCCCTGGTCCAGGGTAGCCCAGGCTAAACCAGAGCAGGGAGGGCGGCGTCCCCACCTGTCCGAGATGCACCGCTGGCCCCAGCTGGGCAGTGACGAAGGGGATGGGCGGGGACATCCCGAGCACGAAAGGAAACTGCACGACTGTCCCTCCCCCTCTGGAGAGGGGGAAGCTTCTGAATACCCCTGGGAGGGGCCTGGTGGGCGGGAAAGCGCTGGACTGGGGGTGAGGGGGTAGAGGGGGGATCCGAAGCCCCCCATGGGGAATGCGCGCAGCTGCACCGCCCCTGCGCGGCCTCTGGGAAGAGGACCCACTGGAGCGCGGCTGTCCCAGCGGAATAGCGAGCGCTGGCTTGGGGCTGAGTTGGGGTCATGCGCACAGCCCACCCACGCGGGGCGCTGGAGCTGGGCTGCGGGGGTGGAGAAGGGAGGGCTTCATGTATGCACAGAAACTCCATTGGGTACTGCTAAAAAGTCTCAGAAAGTGGGGTAGATTCCCTGAGTGCAGGATATAAAAGCCACATGACCTCCAGAAACCCACGCAGAGTGAGAATGTGTTTCTCTTGTTGGTTTGCTGAGGATTTCAAGACTGTGGCAGCCCAGCCCTGAGGAGGACTGGGGCCCTTGGGTGAGAGGACCTCATCCTGAACTGGGTCCTTCTGAGCCTGCCAGCACTAGGAGGGTTCTGGGACATTCGAGAGTCAGGTCTCGGGGCTGGCTGGATTCTTGAATGGGTCCCAACTTGCTCTCCACCACCATGTTTGCTGGGGTGCCCTGTCTTCCCCTTGGGCGCAGTACCCATCCTTGCAAGGAAAAGGAAGGAGGTAAAATGGTGGTGTGACTGCAGCCCCAGCAGCTGAGGCCCTGAGAACTGGGATGCCTGTCAATCTGGGTCAACCCTGGAGGGGGAGAGTCTGGAGGACTCATATTAGAGAGAAACTATCAGGAGTCATATGGAAGTCTCTCAGGGGCCTGCAGTCTCTGGAGGACCTTGCAAGAGGGTGGGTGAACACACCCCACTTGGCCTCCCCTCCCTGGGTCCTTGCCTCTGGCCCTCAGCATCCATCCCCTCTGCCTTTCCAGCCCTGGCCTCTGCCCTCAGCTCTCAATTTTCCTCTCCACACTGGGGCGGGG